GTACCGGGGATTGAACTTGGGACTTTGCACTTGCCGGGCAGTTGGCAGCACCACTGAGCTGAATTCCTGGCTATTTTCTTTTAATTAATTAATTAATTTTGAGATGTGGTCTCATTATGCAGTTCAGGCTGGTCTCGAACTCACTGTGTAGCCAAGGCTGGGCTAGACCACCCCGGGGTCCTCCTGCCTCAGCCTCCCCAGTGCCGAGATTACAGGTGTGTGCCACCATGCCCGGCTAGAATCTTTCTTTCTTTCTTCTTTTTTGTCTTACTTGATAAAGTTATGTGACTAACAATCCTCTTCTGTATAAGTAGGAGGTTCAATAAGAAATACAGCAAATGCTGCTGCCCGGTGCTATCTAATGAAAAGCAGGCTCATAAAAACCTTGCCGTGTGAACCGGGCCACCTAGGTCACCAATTCTGGCACTGTGTGACTTCTGGCTCCTCCCCAAAGTCAGAGTGACGACCGGGGAACGTTCTGAATCGATTCAGGACTTCTGGGCAGCCACGACCCTGCAGAGGAGCCCAGCCTTCCCTGCCAGCCACGTGGAGTTGAACCCCTCATTGAGAGAAGCAACCCCGGAAGAGGTGGGATCCAAAAATATGCAGTGCGCTTAAAGGAAATAAAGGAATTACAGAAAGAGACACATTGCCACGAAGCCCTGGGAAGCTCCTGCCCCTCTCGGCCAACACCTGCTCCCTTCATCCTCGCCACTTTCTGCAGCAGCCCTGGAAGCCCTCTTTCCAGAATCTTTTAAGATTTGAAGAAGTTATGTCCTATTGAGCTGCCGTGGACACCGAGTTAGTGAATACTAAATTGTTACTGCTGGCAGAAGTACATCCTGGCTGCCCCAGGCCTCTGTGCACAATGCTCTTGTCAACCAATCAACACTTACTTGACTCTGTGTGTGTGTGTGTGTGTGTGTGTGTGTGTGTGTGTGTGTGTGTGTCTATGCACTGGGGATCAAACTCGGGACCTTGTGCTTGCAAGGCAGGTGCAGTGCCATTGAGCTGAATCCCCGGCCCACTTAACTTTATCTTATGTGTTCCTGGTTCTTGTCGGTTTGGTTTTTGTTTTTTTGAGACAGGGTCTTGCTATGTAGTTCACCCTGGCCTTGAACTCACTATGTAGTCCAGGCTGGCCTCAAATTCCCTGTCATCCTCCTGCCTCAGCCTCCCAGTGCTGGCATGCCCAGCAGCCTATTTAAAGACATTGTACTGGGCTGGGGATTTAGCTCAGTGGTTCTGCTGCCTGCCTCACAAGCCCAAGGTCCTGAGTTTGATCCCTGGTACCAAAAAAAAAGTAGGAACAATTTATTAAGAGGAAAGATAGCTTCTGTCTAAGAGAGACAGAAAGGAGACCAGAAAGTGGGTTACCCGCCCACCCCGCTTCTTAAAAGTGTTTTGTGGGGCAAAGCCAGGAGATAGGGGGTACAAAGTGGGACAAAACTGTAAGACCCAGTGGAAAATCACAATGCAGGTGTGAGCTGGGGCAAAAACCACGATCAGCCAATAAATTACAAGTACAGGGGTGGGGATTTAGTTCGGTGACAGTCACCTGCCTTACAAGCACAAGGACCCATAGTTTCCCTCTTTGTTTTTATTTTATTTTAGTATTTTTTTTGGTACCGGGGATTGAACTCAGATCCTTGCGCTTGCAAGGCAGGGCACCGAACCACTGAGCTAAATCCCTGGCCTCAGTTTCTCTTTTTATAGTGCTAACCTTCAGTGACTGCATCTCTCTTGTTTTTTGTTCTGTGGGCCCTAGTCTTGTCCAACTGCCTTATACTTTTCGATTCGCTTAGCTATCTGAAATAATTTTAGCAACAGGCTGGGGATGTAGTTCAGCCACCCTGTGCCTGCCTGGCAAGCTCAAGGTCCTGAGTTCGATCCCTGGTATGGGGGTAAAAAATAATTTTTTTAAAGAAACAAATAAAGCCTGAAAAATGTTGTGACCTTTTTGTGTCTTTAATATGTAAGCTATTTCTGATGTTTGCTGAGTAACTGTTTAACTTTCATATTTACACAAACACGGAAACACAAGCGTACACATGCAAACACACCCCTCACAAGTACACGTAAAGCTCCACGTGGACACACACGGACACACAACACACACACGTGCACACGTTCACACGCGTGCAGCACACACCGGCACACAGCCTCTGCTGATGAGAAGTGGTAGGTCAGAGGGACATACAACTGCTCCCCAGGGAAGAAAAGGATAAGGTATTGGGGTGGGGGGAGTATTTAAGGAAACTCCCGTCTCCCTAATAAGTGGCAGAAAACGCCTGCTTGCTTTTCCTGTGCGACGTTGCACCATATTTAAGATCAGGTGTCCGCTTCACTTCACTTAGCAATGTGGCGTCAAGGTGCATCCATTTTCCTGTGTGTGACCTGGGTATATCCTTCTTTATGACAGAGTAGTACTCCACGGCATGTAAGTACCACAGTTTCTTTATCCGCTCATCTGTTAGGGGCCTGCAGGCTGCTCCAGGATTTAGCTATAAAACCTGGTTTGCTGTGACAGTGATGTCTGAACCTTGGAGACACCTAGCAGGGGAACAGCAACCAAAGTCAAAATAATCACAGAAAACAAGATGACAGGAAACAGGGAGATAGAGCGTTTGCAAAAGCAAAGGGGATTCAGAGAGGCAGAGGGAAGAGGAGGAAAGAGGAATAAAAAGAACTAAGATGGGTTAAGTAATGAACCTGTCCTCTAAAGTGAATGTAAATATGTACTGGTAAGAAAACTGAGTTACTGCTCAGGCTCTAGGACTGAGTAATAATAAACCGTGGAGGCCGCGCCTTCCCCCTGGCTGTTACCTCTTGGAACTATTCTAGAGCCTCCCCTAGGGGCAGCAGAGTGAGGGACCAGAGAAGGCTGAGGCAGTACGAATCAGCCCGTCTCTTCGGCTGGCAAGCCAGAGACAACGCTGGTCCATGTCACCGAGGCTGGTCTGTCTGCTCCACAGATCGCTTGTTTGTTTGTTTTGACACCGAGCCTTGCTCTGTAGCTCAGGCTACCCGTGAACTCCCAGGGATCCTCCTGCCTCAGCCTTCTGGGCTCTAGGATCACAGGTGCGCGCCACCACCGGAGCACAGTGTCGTGTCTGTTAGTCTTAAACCTTCCCGCCCCCTCGGAACCCGGCTTCAACCTGATCTCCATCCAGTCCCGGATCCCCTCACCCAGCCACCCCACCTAGGACGGGCGATGGGACCCCAGAGGTCTGCCTTGTTTTATGTTCTGTGTTTCTACACTAACGAGTCACAGCCGGAAGAGGCTTGCCTTTGTGAGACCAGGGCAGAAAGCGCCACCAGCCCCATTTCACTTGCACCAGGCGCCCTCAAATCCTGCCTCGGTCACCCTTTAGGGGTGTGGTGGTGGCGGTGGAGGGTAGGGTTAAGCGAAAGCTTGTCGCTGACTGCCTTCTTGTGGTCATAGCGGGAACTGCCCTAGGTGAAACGCTCCCTCCGGGTGACGACCGTCTGCTCTGGGTGTTCAGTAAAAGTTATTCACCATCATTGTGCGCCTGCTTTGCAGAGCCAGAGCCAAAACAGTGTCCCATTTTTTGAGGGAAAAGGAAGTGTCCTTAAAAAGATTTTTTCTGGGCCGGAGATTTAGCTCAGTGGTGCCAGCACCTGCCTTGCAAGTGCAAGGTCCTGAGTTGGATTCCTGATACCAAAAAAAAAAAAAAAAAAAAAGAAAGAAAGATAAAGGAAAACAATCTTTCTTGAGTGGGGCTGTTTTTTTTAAAATTTTTTGCCTGGGGACACACAGCAATGCCTAGAGATACTTTTGGTTGTCCCAATTGTAGGAGGAGGAGAGGCCGCTTTTGGCTTCTGCTAGGTAAGAGCCAGAGATGGAACCTGCCTCTCAGCATCTGGTCATCCCCAGGGCAGCCCCCACTGCTGAGAACGATCCTGTCCAGGCTGTCAATAGTGTTTAAATGGAGATGTCCTGTCCTGGAGGTTTTTTTTTTTTTTTTCGGGGCCAGGGATTGAACCCAGGACTTTTGCAGTGAGCTGTGTTCCCGGCCCTTTATTATTATTATTTTTTATTTTGTGATAGGGTTTTGCTAAGTTGCCTAGGATGGGCTTGAGCTCTCTCTCTCTCTCTCTCTCTGTCTCTCTCTCTCTCCTCTTGCTTTTGTAGCCCAGGCTGACCTGGAACTCACTATGGAGCCCAGGTTGGCCTCAAATTCACAGTGATCCTCCTGCTTCAGCCTCCCAGTGCTGGGCTTACAGGTGTGCGCCACCAGGCTCAGCTCTTGGAGCTTTCTCAAACGAGGATTCTTCTTGCCATATCATGAGGAGCCAACAGGAGGAACTGCTTTCCGGGAAATAGGGAAGCCTAGCAACACAGGTTCTTTGCTTTGGTTCTAGGTTGGAATAAACCGAGTCTCTGGAAGCTTGTGCTCCCCATAGGCAGCTCTGAGCCAGCCGCACATGGCTATTGAAATCGAAATCAATCAAAATGGTATATATATTTTTGGGAGGATACCGGGGATTGAACTCGGGACCTTGCGCTTTCCAGGCAGGTGGTGGAACCACTGAGCTAAATTCTAGGCTGAAATGAATAAAAATGGAATCAAGTTGATAAAATTTGGCTGCTGAGTGAAATGGCCACTGGCTGAGTGCTCAAAGAGCCAGCCACATGAGGGCGTGGACAGCAGGAGAGCACAGCGATTTCTTTCTTTCTTTCTTTTTTTGAGACAGGGTCTGACCATATATTTCAGGCTGACTTTGAACTTGCTGGCCTTGAACCTGCAGAGATCTTCCTGTCTCAGCCTCCCTAATACTGGGATCACAGGTGTGCACCAGCACACTCGGGACCTTCTGATTGTGAAGCAGGCAGTGGAACCACTGAGCTAAATCTGTGGCCCTGCACAGCGATTTCTGTGGGCAGAACTGCTTCCGAAGCACTCTGTAGAGCCAGGCACCCACACGAAGGAAAATGGGACAGCCAGGGACACGCAGAGAGGCAGACAAAACACGTGCACAATGGTTAAATCAGCAAGAGGCCAGTGTCATCAGTGCGGCAGCAGCTGCCCTGTGGGGGTGACCGACCCGGGCACCCTCACCCCCCAGGGCCACTCCTCGAAGACCCCATAGCTCTGGAGCCCTGGGCAGAGGCAGTGAGGACAGTAGGCCTCGGCCAGGGCCTTCCTAGATGAATCTGCGGTACAAGAGCTTCAGCCCCGCCGGTGGCCAGGAGTCCACGGTGCTGACGGAGGAGCGGCGGCGGTGGCCGATCTTGGTGACTATCTTGAAGGCCTCGAAGAGCTCGTAGGAGTGCCGCAAGACGCAGGGCAGGCAGGCGAAGTGCAGCACCATGCGCGACACCTGCAGGACCAGGCAGAGGTGCGTCAGCACCCGGAACTGCTTCCGGACGAGGCCGCTGGTGTACAGCAGCAGGGAGAAGCTGCCCAGCTCGAAGGCCACGATCCACAGCGCGTAGAGCAGCAGCCCCTTGTAGCTGTTCTGGTGGACACTGTAGAGGAGGCCGCAGCTGACGGCGACGGTGATGAGGGACAGGAGGCCGGCCACGGTGCTCCTGTGGGTCAGGATCCAGGACGCCAGCGCGGACTTTGTGTCCAGGTAGAGGCTGAACTTTTCTTCGTAGCCGATGTGCGTCAGTTGTTCGATGTCCAGGATGAAGAACTGGAAGGTGTTGAGGATGGAGAACAGGCTGACCATCAAGGTCACCGTCCTGGCTTCCATGGGAGATCTGTGTCCTTCTGGAAGTGGCTCCTGCAGGAAGGGATGAGAGGGCCACGTGACGAGAAGGCACAACCAGCCCTGCACAAGTCCCTCAGGCCCCTGGGTGGCGCAGGGGGCGCACAGTGGGGACAGGTAACAGGCCGGAAGTCCAGGGACACCAGTCCTGGCCCCTGCACCTGCCTAATTAGCTCCAGGCAACCACATCGTTGGGAAACAGAGGCCCCACTGGCTTGGGGTCATCCCGAGGTCGCCTCTCATCCTGTGGTTCCTGTTAGCAGGTGCAGGTTTGAGAGTCCTCAGCAGCTCCCCCATCTGGAATATGACAGAGTGGGTCCTGGGGTCCCTTCTAGGGGACTGGCTTCTCTGAGAAAAGAAAACTGTTGGCTGGGTGTGGTGGCGCACACCTGTAATCCCAGCACGTGGGAAGCTGAGGCAGGAGGATCACCGAGAGTTTGAGTCTAGCCTGGGCTACATAGTGAGACCCGGTCATAAACAAACAAGCAGGCAAACAAACAAAAACAAAAGAGGAAGAAAACTATTGGGGACCAGCCATGATATATATATTAGTGGGGGCCAGGCCACAGGTCCCCCAGTCCTGAGGCCCCTTGGCAACTTGCCTCAGGGACAGAGAAGTATGTGAAAGACTGCAGACTTCCTGGCTGTGTGGGGAAAAGGTAATCACAGTACTCCCGAGGCCACATGGCGTCTGCTGAAGGCAATGTAACATGCGGGCCCCCAGGTATGAGGAAGGACCTTACCCTGTTGCCTTTGAGAGGCTAAACTTGCTCTCTATCTTACTACCCTCATCTTACTGCAGTTGCTTTTCCTGGAAAAGTACACAACCTCCTCCCCTGCGCTTCTTGCTGAAAAATAAAAGTGAGTCAACGGTGGAGTTCATCAAGTCTGTCCACTAAAGGCAGATTCCTCCCAGTGCCCCCCTTGAGCATTTAATCTTGTCTCTGTCTCTTTCTTTAATTCTCTGTCATCTTCCCTACAGGTGCTCCGGACAGAAAAGTACCCAGGTTCCTCTCTTGCTTGGGGTCATCCTGAATCTCCCCTCCTTTCCCTCCAAGCCCTTAGAAATGGGGTTTTCCGCTTTGCTCCCCGTGGGTGTGGGGCGGGTGCCCCAGGCTCTTCCCAGTGGCAGCAGTCAGTGGGTTGGGAAAGAGATGTGAGACCCAAGGTCTTCTCCACCTTGGGCCAAGAGGCCTCAATCAACTCCCACCCTATGCAAATGCAGGGCGGGAAGCCTCCAGCTGTGGCCCACAGGCCTGGGGTCAAGGCAGAGGCAGATGGGGAAGCCCTGGCTGAGGAAAGAGGCTCTTCTCCTGGTGGCAAGGATGCAGAGGTGGAAGGGGGGAGCCTGGGAGGGAGACAGACCCACGCTGGCTATCTCGTTATGTCACTAAGTGTAATTTTTGTGCTCTTTTCATGGCTGCTTTAGGATTTGTGGCCTGTATATCTAACTCATCAGTTGGCCTGTATCTATTTTTTTCTTTTGCCCTTTATTTGTAATTTGGGTTTCTCATTTAACACTGTGATCTCAGGATGCATCCATTTTCCTATAAATGATTCAAGTTCATCTTTCTTTATGGCAGAGTAAGGCTCTTCATTGTGCTTAAATACTGCATTTTTTTTATCCGTTCATCTGTTGATGGTGACACAGTACAGGCTACACCCTAATTTAGCTATTATGACCTGTGCTGCGATGAATAGGGGTGCATGGATCCCTGTAACATGATGTCTTTAACTCCTTCTAGTCTGAACGAAACGATCTTCTTGTCTGAATGTTCTGAGGAATCCTGGGGGGTCACTGGCCTGCCCAGGACTCTGGCTCCGCCACCCCAGACCCCAGTGCCTTCCACAGGCTCTGCCCAGCTTGCGGGGTGGGGGCTGGAGCCAACCGACCATGACTGAAGCCCCCAAACCCTAAGCCGCATTAAACCTTTGGCCCTTTAAGCTGTGGGTGTCATGTATTTTTGACCCAGCAGCGGAAAGTGGACTAACACAGTAACCAAAAGTATGATCCATAAAATCAGTACGGTGGATTGCTCTGAAATCACAAACCTCTGCTCTTCGTAGGAGCCTGGTAAGAGAATGAGAGGCAAGGCATGAAGTGGAGAAATATTTAAAAATCATACAGCTGATGCAGGACTTGGGTCCAGAAAATAAAAAGAACTGCCCAAACTCGATGATATACATTAAATTGGCCAGAGATTTGAGCAGACGCCTCGCAAACAAAGATATAAGTGCATAAAATAAAGATCGTTGTCATGTGTCACCAGGGAAACGTAAACTCACAGTGAAATACCACCGTGGTTCTGGTGAAAACAAGCAGTCACCGCCAAGTGCTGGAGGAGGTGGGCTGTTCCACACCGCTACCGCCGCTGGGGACGGGAAACAGCACAGCCACTCTGGGGGAAAAAGATTGCTAGTTTCTTGGGGCTGGGGATTTGGGGATTGCTGGTTTTCTGAAAAGTCCACATAGTATATCCTAAGATACACAAATGCGTAAGTCTTGCACGCAAATCGTGTTCTGCATAGTGGCTGAAAGCTGCAAACTGCCAGCTGCCCTCCCACGGGCAAATGGAAAGACTTCCCCGGAGACAGCAGTGAGCAGAAACGTGGGTGCTCGGGTGACACGGCCTCGGCCTCCGACTTGCAACAATCCTCCTGCCTCAGCCTCCTGAGCGCTGGGATTACAGTCGTGCATCACGAGGCCTGCTTCAATACCCTACAGTTTGGCTGACTAAAGAGATGAGCTCCAGGTGGAAACTGCAGAACGACTTTTTCCTTTATTTTTATTGTTTTACCGATGTGTAATTGAGCACAGGCGACACAGCAACCCACGCTGTGGCCAAGAGTGTGCTCCGTCCCTCAGGAACCTGAGGTGTGAACTCCGTTCTGCCCGACCCAGGGATAAGTCAAGAGCAATGCATTTGATTCCTCTGTGCTCCGGTTCTGGCCAGGAGGAGGGACTGACCCGGAGAGGAAGGCAGAGAGCGCTCGGGCAGGCCCGGAGAACAGAGCGGTGCTGGGCCCGATGGTGTTTGCCGCGCGCCTCCCCCTGCCTGGGACAGCGGCAGCTCGGGCTCTCCCTCCTGAGCGCTCGCTCGGCCGGAGCAAATCAGAGCGCTCGCCGGAGAACAGAGCGGTGCTGGGCCCGATGGTGTTTGCCGCGCGCCTCCCCCTGCCTGGGACAGCGGCAGCTCGGGCTCTCCCTCCTGAGCGCTCGCTCGGCCCGAGCAAATCAGAGCCAAGAGCCA